GAATTTTAATTGTGGAAACCTGTCCCAATCTCAGCCTAAGAATTGTTCCTTAGGATTTTAAGAGTTCTAGGGGAGAGCTGCTGGGATAATAAAAGGGGACATTATCCCAGAAAAAGATAAATAAGAGCTTTTAATTGTTACTCTTACCAGAACCCTTTCAGGGTGAACTCACCAGGGCTTCTACCTGGATTTACTGCTAATCTGACTGCACTTATTGCTAAAGCAGATTTATTTCATTTACTGACAGCTTTCCATCAGAAATGATGACATCTCATATTCCCCAAGGGAATGGGGTGTCCACCTCCATCTCCAACAGTAAAATCTGCTCAGGTAGTTCCTACAAAACCCTTGCTGCAGTGAGGGTGCAGAGTCCAAGCAGGGAAAGGAGGCTGAACTTCCACAAACCTTTTATTGAAAAAGTAATTTAATCCAGAATTAGGAAAGGATTGTGGCCAGCAAACCTCCCCCTCCTGCTCTCCCTTGGAAAAAGTCTGCCTGGTTAGGGTGTGGCTAATTTCTCCAAGCAGTGCATTCCAATGCATCGGAAATCAAAAATAATTTTGCTGATAGTATTTGTAAGCTTTTATCTATACTGAGAACACTCTTGATTCAAGACCACTTTACTAAGTCAACTCTCCTTCCCAGAGAGGGAGAATTAATTTTTTTCCCCTCTCCTCTCATGGACTTTCCCTTCTGAATCTCTTAATAGATCTGAGAAGCACCTGTTGACCAGGAGAAAGAACCCTCAGTGCAAAACAATTCCAATTTGCATTCAACAGCTCAGCAACAGTCTACACCTTCTAGTTTCTTTGACATCAAACCAGGCTGTGAAACTACCACTGCACCAGTGCCCCGAAGACCTTGCGTTGGATGAACCACCACAAACCCCTTCCCTACTGTTAGATAGCTCTAACTGCAGGCAAGCTGGAAGTCCAGAGCAGGCTGAGGTGAAATTCCCTTCCTTTAATTGGAAGTCTTGTCCTCCAGAGCCTGTGTAGCAAGGTGATGATGGACAGTGAGTATTTTGTGATGGGAAAATCCCCCAAAATTGCCTTCTAGGTACTGGAATGTAAAACACATCAGCTGCTAATTCACAGCAGTGTTAAAATTTTCCAAGGACAATGGTCAGCAAAACCTTCTACTGCCATGTGAGTTCATTTTCCCTTTTACATCTCACCAGATTATTGTGTTTCCCACAGCACAAGGGGAAGAGGAAGCTGGAGGCTATGCTGCAGGATTCCAGGAAGCCTGAAGCTGTGGAAGAAAGTGTTAGACTGAGTGGAGTGTGGGATGCTAGGGATGCCTAACTGTGAAAACTGACAGGAGACATCATCCAGTGTACCCAGCACAGGACTCCCTGTAGCCTGGGAAAGAAGTCAAAAGGATGAAAGAGGAGATACCCAGACATAAAAGGAATATAATCATTATATATCACGTCAGAAATAACGACCTTCAGATCTTTTCCTCTTTAATTAAAACCCAGAACCATCCATACACAAATTAGTTCAACTTGTTAGCAACACAGTCCAGCAATGCTGAGACTGTGGTATCACCCAAAAGCACAAGTTAAAAGGCTTATTGGCCTACTTACACATTTTTGTATCCGAATAAGCATCAGATACACCCACTTAATTATGGAAATGTGGGAGGTCACACCCCTTATGGTTCTAGCAAGGGTCACTGAGCAGTAAGTCACTGGCAACTTGAGCAAGAACCAAACCCAAAAAACCCAAGTCAACTAAAAGAATAACCCCAACAAACCAAAACACCCCCCAAGCCCTCAACAAATGAGTTCAGTCTTACAACATTGCCATTCTTTGGTGCTTTGCAGTGGTGGTCACAGGTCTCTGTGCAGACTGACAGGTGGTCACTAAGGCTGTCAAGGCTACCAGACCATCTCCAAGGTAATTTTCCATCTCCCTTAACTGCTGAAGGGGGAAAATTGTCTCTTTCTTGCTAGAACTGTCTCACTCTCCAAGCTGAGGTATTGCCGTTGGCTTACCTTGATGGCTTTAGGGAAGAGACTCAGGACATGCGTGCGTTGCTTGGGGAAGATTAGGGAATAAAAGCATTAATGGAGTTGTGGTATTTGATAAAGATGTTAAAGTTGTTCCTACCATTTCAGAAGAGGAGACTAAGAATCTTTCCCTCACCAAAACTCAGTACAAATTTGTTCATGTTCCTACAGGTACAGTTTATCTTACAGAAGTGTATTTTGAACAGGTGCTGATCTGTTTGGATCAAGCAATTCACTGCTGATTTATGAACAGCTGTTGTGAATTAATAACACCTCTGCCTACAGTATGATTTCCTACAGTACACTGGATCCCAAAACCAATTCTAGCTACATTTTGACTAAGAAAAGAAACTCTCAACTACAGCACAAAGCAGTAGAGCTTGATCCTAGTAATCTGCCCTCCATGTAGGCAGTACAAGCAGGTACGATATCTGCTCCAACAGTCAATCAGCCAATGCAGCCCTTAAAGATGATCCCCTGCAGCAAATGTTTTCCATCACAAGTTTTTCATTCTATCAGCAAAATCCTCTCAACTACAAACTGGTTTCTCCAATTCTCAGAAGTTACTACGTGTTTTGGTAAACCTCACCAGGTATAAGGTATATTTCCATAAATCTAAAACCATTTCCCAGCTTTTAGAACAAGATCTTTAATTAATCCTTAACATTGCCTTGATTCACTGGATAAACACACCTCATCCAAAAGCTCAAAAGCACAGTAAAAACCTGAAGACCTCAAAATAACCAATTTCCACATCAAAAATACAGAAAGATGCAGTTGTTACAAACAGTCCATTTATTGGGTCTTAAACTACATACACAACTGAAATCATAGTTTTGGCACTACACTATACAGTGGTTACATCCATGTGCTGACACTCCTTAAATACTGCCCCAGGAGCACTGCTGTGCTTGGAAATTTGGGATGAGTCACACACTTGGCAGGTAGATCACTCATAAGGTCTCAGTGCTCCTGGGGGGTTGCATGAAAGTTGAAACACACACCAGTTGATGAATTATCTTAGTGTACCTCACACTCTAGGAACATCTCACACCAGGATATGTGATGGCAGCATTTAGAGACGGCCACACGTGTTGCAGTAATGAGACACAGTCAGAATGAGATACAGGAAAACCAAAACAAACCCTCTGCCTTTCAGACACAAAAAGAGATATTCAGTTAAAGAAAATAATTTAAAAAACTAAGAATGGCATTTGATTTGATACAAAAGCCAGAACCACTACTGTATTAACATCTAAGTATGAATCTTTACAAATTAATCTCACAATGGGGTTATGTAAAAGGTTGCAAACTGTACAATGCTTTGTCAATGCAATGCCTCTACAATTTATACAGTCTTTTACAGCTATGTAACACATATTAAACAGGTTGTTAAACAGCCAATTGATACCAGTCTCTGAACAAAGCTGCAGGCAAAAAAACACAGAGCTTCCACAACCTCCAAACAAGATATGCTTTGCCCAAACAGTGACACACTGTGAGAACACACTGTGAAAATCACCAGCCACTCGATGCCTTCTCACACTGTGCAGACATTTCATTCCATGAATCCAATCACCACTTAAGAGTCCACCATTTCCTATCTGAGTGCTCTAATTACATGGAAACACCCAAGGTATTTCCCCCTTAAAAATATGCAGATAATCATAGATTTTGTCTCCACACATGAACAGACTACCTAGGAAGACCTCTCTAGGCTTTCACTCCCCACATTCCGTTCTGCCATTGCCTGTCCTGCATGGAGAACATCAGCTATTTACATTTGAACAAGATACAAAAAGGCAACCCTGCCCTGAGGTGGACTGAATGATACTCAAATCCCAGTAGTGAAAAATAAACTCTGAGGAAGGCAGGCTCCTGGGATTGTGTGCTGACTAGGGAAGGAGTTGCATCAACAGAACTGGAGAGCTCCACTGAGAAGATTCTGGTTTGCGGCACTCTCTGGCTGTGCATATCATTAATGTTGGAGACAGCTGGGGAGAGGGGTCAGAAAAAGAGGGTGGGAAGTGTGCAGTGTAAGTCACTGTGTGCAAGGAAGCAGAAACAAGACTGATGTGTGATGCAGGCCAAGGAGAAGGGTCTTGCCACAGACTCACAATCAGGCCCTGCAAGCGCAGCTACGAGGACACTGTGGGGCTCCCACAGCTGCCCCCTGGGGGGGTGAAGTTCTTTTTGAATAGAACCAGGTCTTTATGTTTGTATTTAAAAGTGGTTTTGATTAGGCATCAGGATTTCCAGCACAAAGTTCTCTACATGGTCAATTTCTTTTGCGTTTCCTTTATTTCGCAGAAAAGTTCCTATATCCTCCTTTTCCCCAGGTGAAACCTGAGAAATAAAGAAGGAACAATTCAAAATACAAATATTACCTTCATGCTGTTATTTATATGAAAATATAAATTAAAACTTCTCTGGGAATACTGTCACAAGACATCACAATACAATAGAAATGATTATCCTGTAGGGTAACAAAGAGAAACTCCAAGAATGGATTCCCTCTTTGGGGACATGCCTGTGCGAAGAGCCCTGGCAGCAAAGCCATAGGGTGGAAGAGGAAACCATGTGGTAGCAGTCATTCCCCAGCATGAAGTGTAGATGATAGACTGGACTGGGTGGTAGCTAAAGTCCTCAGAAGCAGCAGAAGTACAAAACAGCAAGTACCTCCCCTTTAGGGACACTGCCAGGCAATTAAAAGGCAACCAACTGGCAGAAAATGAAGAAAAGGAACATCAATATTGAAGAAAACAAGAGTAAATGTTTTAGCAAAGCACTAATGCAATACAGGGACACAGAAAATATGGGCAATGTTTAACCAATATACATCTGGTCTTGACCAAGATGGGGGGAATGCAGACTTGGCTGTGAGGGATTCCCCCTGCTCTCCATGCTGGACCGGAGAGTTGGAGTAGAATTCCTAAGACTGAGGTTCCTGTCAATTCATGTCAAAACAAATCATCTTACCTATTTATGCATAATAGCAGGGTGAAACCAGGAGGTCAGTAAGCACTAGTAGCTGGTCATCTGTGAACTGCTGTTTATGCTCCTGCCAGTTGTCGTGGTGAGTCCTCCGGAAATTGGACAGCGTTTTCTTCACAGTCATCTGCACAGCACAGTCAGGATTGATCTCATCAGTTAGGGATTTCACCTCCACACCAAAACAATAAACAGAACTGCTGAGGACAGCAGAGTGTTGGAGCAAACCCAAAGGTTAGGAGGGCTCTGAGGAATTTTCACAGTTCTGATTAGTCTTTTACCAGTGTTGCCACTCCAACATGCTTATAAAAAGGGCTCTTTGACTTACAATTTTGAGTTGGAAAACATTAAGAGATTCTTATAAAGAGAATATTATTATTATTATTAAGCAATTCTTATAAAGTAAAAGACAAATGTTTTTCCCTGCTGCCTTTCCCTTGGGTATTTCAAACCAGTGCTTTAGGTCTCAAAACGTGAGAAAATGGATAGTAGGTTCAGAGAGGAAAACAAATCAGAGGACAACTATCTTATGCTATTAAAATAATAATTATGAAATGAACAAAAGTCTCATCAAGTCAGTTTCTTGCTTCAGGAAGGCACACCACAGCAAAGTGTGCTAAATCTAAGGAATTCTGCAGCTCACTCCTCTGGCTAAAACATAGGTCAACAAAACCTGATAGGACATAAGTTAAACTTAAAGGTAACTATGTTATTAAAACCATTAGAGATGTTTCTAGATTGATACTGAGACATTTTTAATTAAAAAAAGACTACTTCCTCATGATAAATACAGTTCTTGCAGTTTATGCTATAAGTTTGAAAGCAAGGACAGATCCATGATAAAAAAAAAAACAACTTCAAAGCAGTCCATCATTTAAAACCATTTGGAACCATAAAAAGCAGCAGAAATTAAGTTTCGTTTTTTCTTTGGAAAGAGGAACTAAGAATGAGTCAAGTGCCTTTTAGTTGTATTGTACTGTATTTTTACCTCAATAGGCTGAGGATCATTCAGGTGAGCACTGAGATCCATGAGGAGCTGTGGCATCCAGGTGGGCACATCGTAGGGACTGGACAGGATGCAGGCGCTGAGCCCCAGCACACCTGCATGGCGCTTTACCAGGTCTGTAATCACAGGGTAGGAATTGCTATTCAATCAAAGTAATTGACATTTAATTACAAATCCCAGCAACTAACCCTCTGGCACAGCAGAGAGATCTCTAGCTTCTCCAGAAACCCAGATAGTCCTACAGACAGAAGTGTATGGAGCTCCAAATTGCTGCTTTCTAACACAGGATAATGGATTCATTCTCTGCTTCTAACTTTGATTTCTAATAGAACAATGCATAAAAAATTCATCTACAACTGCTGTGTACTTTATAAACATTCCAAACAAGCTTCCTTCTCTCCAAGAAACTCATAAATAGGTCATGAAGGACATCTTCATGTTCCCTATTTCTGCATTCAGAATGTTTTCTCCAATACCAGAGCTACTGGACAATAGGGAAAATCAGACTTCCAGGTCAAATGCCCATGACTTACATTCATTAAGCGTCCAGTGAGAAGCCAAAGCTCCTAACTAAGGTGTTTTCTTCTTCTGGGTTTTTTTTTTTTGTTCTGGTTTGTTTTTATTTTGGCTGGTGGGTTTGTGCATGTGTTGGGTTGGGGCTCTTTAGAATAGAAACTTACACTGCTAACAAATAGAAAGTAAGATGGGTAAGGAGCAAAACTGTTGTGACAGCTAAGGAAGTTTATTTACCAAGGAACTAGCTATTCCTCATCATCTGCATCCTTACCTGTGAGCTGAAAAATGGAAAAATCTCTTGAGTGCTAACTCAAAGAGTAAGAAATTATTTTAACATAGGGATAGATAAAAAACATGATTTGCTTTTGCTGTGTGTTCCTTATTCACTATTTATGCTGCAAATCAAACTTTAGAAGCACTTAACAAGGATTAGGATCTGCACTACATGGACTGGAACAGACAATAAGGTACATAATGGTTTATGAATGCTTAGAAAGGAAAAACATTCCCATAATCTTGTATTTTTCTGGGTCTATATTAATTCTCTAACTATTCTAATAACAGGACAAACTCTCTTCCACATGGAGTGCTGGCAGAATTGATTCCTTCCTGACCTGCTTCCCACACCCCTGTTTTTAGCCTGGGAAGCATTTCCTTACCACCAGAAGGAATTGTATCCCCCACTGAGCCCAGGTCTCGCTTCCTTTTCTTGGGTAGCCTCATCTTGCAGAGCTGCTCAAAGTGGGTCTGCATGGGCCCATCCATGGTGAGGAAGTTGCACTGCAGGAGGCCGCTGAGCGTGGTTGCAGCCATCTCCCTCACCTGTGAGCACAGGCAGGACACAACACACTTACTAAGCACACAAGCACAGCAAGAAACAGGTATTTAGGCCATTACTATCCTTTTAAGGACATCATCAACCTACTTTACAAAATTCCTAACAAACAGGCTCTGTATTAACATTAGTATTAAAGTGTGCTTTATTCAAAGCATTTGGTTTTCCCCCTCAGATGCAGAATGGACAAAAGCAGAAGTGCTTTTCCAAGAGAAGGCAGAAGGTATATTCAGGAGACTCAGTTGATTCTGTTCTACCTGTGGCACAAGAACTCTTTGAGATAGAACACTTTGGATTAATAAGCAACAACAGTGGTTTATAACTTTATTAACTTCAGTGGTTTATAGTCAATAACTCAACTCCAGAACACTCCAACATGATACACTTTCTTGTCCTGAGTACCAGTTCTCTGCACTATATGAATAAAATCAGAATTTCAGGTTGGAAAAATAGTCTTCTCTTTAGTAACACAGACACCTCAAAAAGCTTCCATCTCCTCCAATGCCAAGTCATTCAAAACACACTTCTCTTTTTCCATTCCTTTTAAAACAGCCACAACATCATCTTAGTGAATTCCAGCAGACGACTCATCCTTGCTTTTAAAAAAAAAGTGACTACTTTAGCAGTATTACTAATTTCTCTCGTCTACTCCAATCTCCCAAAGCCATGAAGTTGGAGAACTATAAGACTGTATTTAAGTTGGATTTAAATAATTGCAGCCTGACAAATCCTCCCAACATCTACAAACCTGAACACCAAACCAACTCGCTGAAACTCACCAGAGTTTTGGTGAGTACATTCTGTTACAGGTAATTGTAAACAGAACGTTCGTCTGTGTGGAGCACAAACACCTCCCAATGCTCTGAATCCAATGCAGCAGATTATAATAAATGATATCCTTGAACACAATGTTCTGAAGCTCCACCAAGCAGTGAGTACAGCTACAATAATTAAACACAGGAAGGGCAAGTAAGCTCTTGAGACTTCACTCGTTCCATTTAGATTTCTACAAGGTATTATTCAAATGTGATCTCCTTTGTTACCAGTGTCAAGAAGGATGAGGTGAGAGGCTGCCAGTGTTGTTTATAAGCAATTTGTGAGTCCCTGAAGGACCGAGCTAGTAAATGAAACATGATGTGCTAATGCAAGACCCAGAACACCAAGCTTAGCTGTAAAGTGAGCAAGCTCCCGTGAGAGCTGGACTCATTTCTAGCACCATTCCCTGTGCTGAAACCACTTTCATTTCTAAATTAATAACCTAGAAGGAATGCTTTGCTGAGAGGAGCACCTAGAAACAAAGTCCTTAAAGTCATACATGAAGCAGCTAATCACTCATCCCATCTGACACTAAATAATTCATAGATCACACTCACATGATGACTTCTGGAATACAGGGGAGTAGCATAGGAATAATCTTCCAATCAGCTAGGGGTTTCATGGGTCAGAATAGACTGACCAAGGTCTGTCAAGCTGTAGCAATATCAAAACCACTCAACAGCACAAGCCAAACCCAACTATAGGATTTGCAAGGTGCTACTCATACAGTGAGAAAACACTCTGATTTCTATAGTATTACAGTGTAATATGAAATCTCTTTAACAAGACATGAGTACTATGCATTCAGCACACGGTATATTAAAACAAAACCCAAGATGGGCAAGATCATGTTTTGGCCATTTGCATCAAAGAAAAAAGCATCTTAAAATCCAAGAACCAAAATCTCAGTTCGACAAGAATAAAGACACCAAATGTACCAAATGTAGTTAAAGCTAGGGATTCTCATCTGAAAAATCCAGCAAAAAGCTACACAGGAATTACTCTGCAGGATACTGCATCTTGCCAATATTATTAAGACAGAACAAGATTATTTTTCAAAGAAAAGTGAAAGCTTCCATGGCAACAACATGATCCTAAGTGGTTATGAACACAGAAGTTTTCTGGATTTGCATCTCCGTAGTGCAGAGGAATCATTTGTACATCTAAAATAACTAGACAAATTGTCTTCAAGCAAATAAAAGGTATTTTTCAAAATTGTGGGAGATTATGAGGTAAGTGTTCTGACAAACAACTTAGCTAGGACTGCAATCTGCTGCAGAATCTTCTTTCTTCTAGATAAAAGCGTCCAAAAGGAGAACTTCATTGGTGTTTGCCAACTGTACAAAGCCCAGTGAAAGTGATGGTGTGGGGGAGACAGACCAGACTGGAGGTTCACACTAAACTGTGCTTGAACATGACTTAAATTCACCTCATTTAATGCAAGTCCTCAGTTGCAGGTAGCTAGAGGTATGTATGAGAAGTAT